AAAACCAACGTGCTTGCGCTTTGCCTCTAGATAGTGGGGCGCTTATTTCTAACGCAGGGTCCCGAGCCCCAGGAGCCCCAGAGACTTTGATGATGAACATCCGGACGGGCCGGGAAGTCTGCGTGTTCGATTAGCCCCTCTTCTGATTTTGAGGCAGCCAGTCAAAAACCTTTGACCTGCGGAGTCTATCCCGAGGCTCTGGAGCTGTCCATGGTACCAGAGAGAAGCACGCGCAGCCCCCGTCTCTCTCCACCAACCTACCCCACCCCCACCCCAATCCTGCCTTTCCTCCTCGCGTCTCTGGTGTCACCAGCAAGGGGCACCACCTCCATGCAGCCGTCCATGATTGCAAGTTACGGAGTCCTAACTCATCCTCTCCCTGGCCTTCTAAAACCAGTCCGTTTCCGAGTCTTAAAGGTTCTACATTGGAATGTCTCTCCCGTCTTTCCTTTCTTATCCATTCTTACCATCATTGTCCCAGTTCAGGCCTTTAGCCTGGGCCACTGTACCAGACTCCTCGTGGGTCTCCCTGACTCCAGTCTCCACCAGCAGCCAGACGGGCCACTCTCCTGCTTAGAAACCTCCCCTGGTTTCCCACTATCTACAGATCAGGTCCAAGCACGTTGATTTTCCTAAGAGATGCTTCCTGATGGCCATCCTCTGAACTCACCCTTCTCCCTGTCTCCATTCCTTTCAACACTCGCTCTGGACTTGCTCTCCCTTCGTGTCTCTGCCTGGGAAACTCCTACGTCAGACCCCCTAGATGTCTCCTTCTTGGAAAAGCTTCCCTCAGTCCCCACAGGCAGAAATAGCTCCTCTCTCTAAGCTTTCCCGACATGCACAGACCCTCCCACCATGGCCTGTCTGTACTGAAACCATCTTAGCTCCTCCATTTGTCAGGAAAGGAATGTGTCTGGTCCGATTAATCTCCATATCCCTGTTTTCAGGGGCTTGAGCAAAACTGCCTAACAAAGTAGTATGAATGCATAACTTAGTAAGTTGTCTTCCACTGCACTTGTCAAATCTGCATAGGCCATTTCATGTAGAGATATTCATTTTGGCCTTACATCTAAAACATCTTCTGCCTCAGGGCCTTTGCATGTGCCCTTTCCTCTGCCTTTCTCTAGATCTCTGCCCACTTCAGCATTTAGTGTAAATAACACATCTATAGAGATACCTCTGATCTCTCAATCTAACTCAGACCTTTTCAGATGAAGTAATGACACAAGAGAGTGAGACAAGAGGAGTCACAAGGCAGTATACAGTTAAGTGCCAAATAAAGCAAAGAGTTAAACATTAGGAGTTCAGCGAATGAAGAGTTTAGTGTGGATTAGAAAGCTAGGTAAGACTTCACAGAAGAGGTGGGCTATAAACTGAGTCTTCAAGACGGAGTAAGAATCGGGTAGAGAGAGGTAAGTGAGGCGGTGATTCAGAGGCTGTGGGCAGGGCTGCTGTATACAAGCTTGCAGGTGAACAACAAGGCCTTGCAGGGGCGCATATCCAGCCTGTGCTCTGCCCACCACGCCCCCCCCCCATCAAGGCTTTGTCTTCCTGAATCCAGCACTGAACCTTCGCTGATTGGTTCAAAGGCTCCCAGGGCTAGAGGAGGTCCTGCATTGAGAGGGAGGTGAGGAAAAGGCTCCGTGCACGGAGATTTAAGATGGATAAATCATAAGCCTTTTCAGGGGAGCAGAATGGTTGAAACACAAGCCTTAGAGAAAGGAAGAATAGGGAACGAGACCCACTTGAGCTCACTGTCAGGTCTTTGAATGCCACGGTGTCCATCACTGACACTTTTCTGACTTCTCAAGAAACTCTAAAATGTGTTAGTGGAAAATTCCACCCCGTATGAGATTCCCCAAAGGGAAGCTTCAGTTATGGCTCCTGAGGAGCAAGAGCAGGTTAGAATTGGGGGCTAGGACTACTTCCAAAAAATATACAAATGTTTCGAAAAGTAGGTCTCACCAGTAGGTGTCTCCTTTTCCTTCACAGCACTTGCCACTGCTGATAGAGTTGTACTTGTTTGCTTACTTATAATGGTTTAGCTCACTGGTCAGAGTCCAAGTGCCAGAAGCAAGGAGTCTACTCTTCTTGGTGACCCCAATGCCTAGGTCAGTGCCTGGCAGAGAGTAGGCATTCCATAACTACTGAATGAATGAGTGAATGAATGGATGAATGAAAAACTGTTCAGATATTCAGCAATAAGGAAATAGTTAAGCAACTATGGCAAATGTCAATGACAGCTTTAGCCACCTACAAAAATGTCAATGATGCAACATTAAGCAAACTGGTGCAAGCATTATAATTACAATGCTTAAAAATTGTTCTGTGCAAACAGGGCCTGGAAGAATATAGAGACACATGAGAACAGCTGTGGCACTGGGGAGACGAGATCCTGGTGAAATCTTCCTCTCAATTTTGGCAAACTGTTTCAACTTTGAGACTCTTCATAGCCTTGAACCCAGAAGCTCATCCCATTTCCAGAGATTTCTGCTACTAATCAGAAAGGCAGACTGAGCTGTACATGGCAGTTTATTATCTGTGAGAAACCTCTCTGTCCCAGGAACTGTACAAAGCATTTTGCATGCATTGTGTCATTCATTATCTTCCCAACAGCCCTGGGATAAGTCCCATTTATGACCACATTTTACAGATGGTGAAGGAAACTACTACATAAAAATATATACACACTAATCCTCAGCTATGTGAAAATTACATGCAGAAAAAAAACACTGGGGTCAAATATGCCAATATATTAATAGTTATTCTGAGTGATGGAATTAAGGGTGACATTTTCCCCTCTTTATTTTTTTTCTATTTCTAAATTTCTACAATGACTATGCATTGTTTTGTTCACTGGGAAAATGGGATCTTTAAATAAAAAATATTCCTTGGTGGTTGTTCTATGGCTTTAACAGCAAGTCCACATCCAGGGAAAGAGACAGGAAGAGGCAGTTCAGGGGAGAGGGGTGTGGGCAGCTCTTGCTCCAGCGGCTTTTTCTGCCTGTTAGTACCAGAGGCCGCCAGCAGGTGGCGCCTTAGGCAGGTTTTGAAGAGGCTGAAGCAGGAGGCGGTGCAGAGAAGCGCCCCTCGAGCATCTGAGCGAAGGGAACAGCTCCCGCCTGGCTCTAGAGGCAAACACACATCCTTGCACCTCTAGGACTTCCCCGGTGTCGCTGGCTCTGCCTGGCGCATCCTGCCCCGCGCCCCCTTGACCCCTGTCTGCTCAGTGAGCTTATTGTCCTCGAGGCTCAGATGCAAAACCTCCTCTCCTTAGACGAGGTGTGGGAGAGCCCCCGGGAGCACCAGGGCTCCTGGAAGCGGGTGATCGATGGTAATGAATGAGCCAAGGGTTTCATGTGCACCTGCCCGTTCGCTGTTTCTCAACCAGGCAATTTCTTTTTGAATGACGATACCTGCCAGTGTTCATTGAGCACAAGCCCTGATGTGCACTGGAGCATTTCAGTCCTCCCAAGAAACCCTCCAGGGAGGAAAATATTTTCCTCCCCACGTGACAGTTTGGTCTGAAGCTCAAGTCCCAGCTCTCCCACTTCCTGGCTGATTACCCTTAGATGGGTTACCTGGCCCTTCTGTGACTCTCCTTAACTGTAAAAAGGTTCAAATGCCAGTATTGCCATGCTTTGAGGATTAAACCAGCCACCCCACACAAAGCATTTAGAGCAGAAATAGCCGGCACCTACCAGGTCCTCAGTATTAGCCACTATTACTCTTATATGGGGGGTGGGGGGAGAGGCTGAGGCTTGGAGAGTGGAGTCATTTGCCCAAAATCACTGAGCTAGTAGGAGAGGATTTGAACCCGGCCATATCCAGCTCCTACGCCCAAACTCTTAACTGCCACATTATTTTCTTTAGGTTACCTGCTCATTTCTCTTAAGTTTCAGGAAAAACTGACATGGGGTTTGCTCTCCTCTACACCCCTCTTGACTTTATGATTCTCTATGAAGCAGCTGCCATTCCCTCCTCTCTGCTCTGCACTGAGAAAACAGCCGTAAGTGAGGGAGCCAGCATGGCTGTGTTCCAAAAATACTTTATTTACAAAAACAGGCAGGAAAGATGCTCAATGTCATTAGCCTTAAGGGAAATGTGAATCAAGCCTATAATGATACACCATTTCACACCCACTAGGATGGCTATAATAAAAAAGACAGTTACATGCTGGTGAGGATGTGAGGAATTTGGCAACTCATACGTTACCGGTGGAAGTGTAAAATGCTGCAGCTGCTTTGAAAGCAGTCTGGTTAAACACAGAGTTAGCATGTGACCCAGCAATCCCACTCCCAGGTATAGACCCAAGGGAAATGCAAACATATGTCCACACAAAAACTTGCACACAAATGTGCATAGCAGCCCTACTCATTATAGCCCCCAAGTGACAACAATCCAAATAGTCATCAACTGATATGTGGAAAAAGAAAATGTGGTATATCCATTCAATGGAATACTATTGGGCAATAAAAAGGAATGAAGTAGTAGATAATACAAGAAATTTTTCAGTATATAATGACATTAATCTCAGATTGAACAGTCCAGTTGTGTACCCAACCCAATGAATATACAAAAGTTCCACACTAAGTCACATCATTTAAAAGTATGTAGATTAATGGGAATAAAGATAAGATCTTAAATATTTCCAGAGGGAGACAGTAAGTAAAGGGAAAGTAAAATATAAGGAATGGGAAGCAGAATGGTATGAGATATCTCAACAACAGTATAGGAATCTGGAAGACAGGAGAGCAGTGCCTTCAAAATTATGAGTCAGAAGTGATGGAGAATTCTATACCCAACTAAACTATCGACATAAGGCCAGAATAATGGTTCCAGACATTCTAGGCCTCAGCATTTTACATTGTAAGCATCCTTCTGAAGAACTACTGAGAATACACTCTACCAAAATGAGTGGATAAAACAAGAAGAAACATGAGATTCAGAAAAGCTTGTAGCCAAAAATGCAAATTAAAAAAAAAAAAAAGGAATGAAATCCTGATACACAGACCTTGAAAACATGGTGCTAAGTGAAAGAAGCCAGACACCTAAGACCACATACTGCATGATGCCATTCAATGAAATGTCCAGAACAGGCAAATCTATAGGGAGAAAATATATTAGTGTTTTCTGAGGGCTGGGGGTATGGGGAGAATGGAGGGCAAGGGCTAAGAGGTATAGGGTTTCTATTTTCAGGGTGTAAAAATTTACTGTAGTGGTAGATACAAAAACATGAGTTACATGGCATGTAAATTATATCTCAAGAAACTGTTAAAAAACAGTCTGTGGGCCATATCTGGCCCATCGGCCATGGTTTGCTGGCCCCTTGATGTAGTCAGAC